AAACTGGAAAATATAATTATTTTATATCAAAAAAATGGACAGAAAAGTGAGACAATATAAAATAAAATAATATGAACAGGAAAGTGAGGGACAATATAAAATAAAAAATAGATCAGTTTTTTTTCATTTTTATAAACAATTCATTTTTATAAAAAAAAAAGCCAGAAAAATACCATAAACCGACCGGAGCAGCTTCCTTCTTTTGGATAGATGGTTGCTTTTCCTCGGTCTCTCCACCTCCACTTTCATCTCGCATGGACATTTACATTTTACATATCCTCCCCTTCCTCTTCCTCTCTACCTTATCTAATGTAGCCCTCCCCTTTCCTTTCATCTTATTTCATTTAACCGATCCCTTCTCCTCCATCTAATCTACTGTAACACGCAACTCAATTATGAATTAATCTTCACCCAAAGATTATAGATTAATTTTTTTATCAAAAGTTTGAAAAATATTATATTGAGCAAGCTAATTTTTGTATTGGGAGAAGGTTTATTTAAAAACTTCGTATTTTAAAAATTTTATGCTTAAAAATAATTTAGGAGAAAATTCTTTATATTACAAATTCTGTAATATTTGTTCAAATTTATAGAATTATGTTATAACTTTCCAATATCCTGAAACTGATTTAATCATAACTTCAAAATACAATTAGTTTTAAATTTTTTTTCGTATTTTAGTTTTTGGACTTTAATTCTTTTAGATTTTATTGATGACTCATTAAACGATATTCTCAAGGACTTTTAAATAAAATTAGAATCTATTTATCAACAAATTTTATACACATTAAAGACTTTTAAATAGAAAATTATCATCTATTTATCAACAAATTTTATATTCATTAAAAACAATTTAGGGCAAGTGGTCCAATTTCTTATGATGAATTATCAAGATTCTTCATATGAATTATACGACTTCCCTATAACATTAGGCAATAGGTATCCATATTTTATTACTTTTTCCAATAACTTAAATAACTACCATTTTTTTACGAGTTCCTTATGCATTTAATATTTAATAAGAAATAATTTTGGAATTTAGAATATCATAAATTAAATTATGAATTTAAAATATCATAAATTAAATTATGAATTTAAAAGCTTAAATAAATTATATTCTCTTTGCTAGCATGAAATAGAATATCAATTTTAAAATATTTGATGTTTTTAAGTGCTGTTTTTTTATGTTTTTAGAGCTTTAGGTTGCATTCATCATAATTTATTAATATCTTTTTTGAAAATATATATTTCATTCAAAATGGAAAAAATAATTTGAAATCGAAATTTCTATTATTTCAACAAATTTATGACCTATTTCCGCATTTCTCATTATAATTTTTTCTTTCGTTCAAAATGGAAAGATTGTAATTTTAAATGAAAAGTTTATTTATTTCAAAGAATTTATGACTATTTCCTCACTTCTCCTAATAAATTCTTAAATGCTTCACATAAATTATGCTGGCTTCTCTTAAAGAAATAGGAAACACTAAACTATCGTTTCTTAATTGTTTAATAAGAAAAATAACTTTATAATTGTTCATTATTTATGTGCCTCTAAAAATAAATTCCTAAAAATTTTAAGTACAACAATTATTACAATGGAAAAAGTTTACGGTGCATCTTGCAATGCACCTCAAAATCAAGATGCACCTCAAAATCCATTGGAAAAGGTTGTTTTAATGTTGAAAACCCTCTAATTGATCATCTTGACGACGAGATGTATGAATATGAAAAAAAGAAAAAAAACGAAGAAGATTTTGAGTCCCAAAAATAGTGCATCTTACAACATATTATCTAGATCGTCCATTTTTAAGATTTTCATATGTTTATAGATCTACTTGATTTTAACAATTTTTGGAATTTAAAATTTTATAATTAGATATGGAAATATATTTTGCGATAATCCTAAGAATTTGTTTTACTCCAAAACCACACCCATTGGTTTCAATAAGGTTGCAACCTTAAACAATCCAATTAAGGCGGACCTCCAAATTTTATCATAACAGGTAATTTTGGTATAAAAAATTCATAGAATTATCTCAAAATATATTTTCATATCTAATTATAAAATTTTAAACTCCAAAAATGGTTAAAATGAAGTAGATATGTAAACATATGAAAATCTTAAAAAAAAAAGGTCGAGATAATGTGTTGCAAGATGCGCTATTTTTGGGACTCAAAATCTTTTTTTTTTTTTTTCTTTCACATCGAGATGATCAATTAGAGGGTTTTTCAACATTAAAACAACCTTTTTTAATGGATTTTTTAGGTGCATATGTAATTCTACATTTAAAGGTTGCAACCTTATATAAACTTTTTCAATGGATTTTTTAGGTGGATATATAATTCTACATTTAAAGGTTGCAACCTTATATAAAATTTTTCCATATATATTTGTTAGTTCATAAAATTCAAAATTAGGATACATTTTAACCTTTTGATGCTTAATGCATTTGCTTCTACTAGGCACATTTCTTTCCATCCATCGTGATGATGGTAGTTTATGCTTGAAGGGATGTAATCAACCGCTGCATTTCTTTGATGCATCAAATATTTTTTTTGTTTTTATTTCCTAATTATTTTTGTACATCATAATATTCATACACGATTATGAATATCATACATTATATTTCTTTTAGTATATCAATTTTAATAATTAATTTTTCATTCATAAACATTGAAAAGTCGCTAAATGTATAACTTATTGCTAGAATAATCTAAAGAAATATATTAAATACTTACCCCCTTCCTCAATCTACTCCAATGTCTCAAAGCTTTAATATTTCAAATGTATGACACAAATTTAAAATGCTATTGCATGATAATGTGGAGCTTTATACACAACAATCAAGATGAAAATTATGTTGATAATCATGGGACAAGCATGTTGAAGGTCATATCAAAAGGGTTTTGTCACAAGATTCTTGAAGGTCATGTTAAAAGGGTTTTGTCACAAGATTCTCGTTTCAAAGGGATTATCCACACTTGTAAGGTGTGGTTTAAAAAACGGATCGAGCAACCCAAAAATCCATCTGGATTGGTGAATCAACATTTCAAATAGGGAATTGATCGAATCGGTTGAATTCGACTTTGAATAAAATTCAAAAAAATTATTAAAAATCATTATAAATTTTGTTTTTAAGAATCCAATAACAGATGAGGGTATTACATTAATAAATTTTATTTTTTTTGCATCAATAAGTAAATATTGAGATGTTTTTTTCCTGTATGAAGATTTTCATCAAACATTTATTAAAACATAACTAAATACAATATTAGATATTGAAATTAAAATTATTGGTTCGTATTTTATTATTTTATCATCATTTTACTATAACATAAAGTGAAATTAATATCATATCAAAGTATCAAATATTTATTATTTCTTTTTACTCATCCAAAATTATTACAGCCTAACTACGTATAATAGTACATATTGAAATTGAAGTTCTTGGTTTATAACTTTATATTTTATAATTATTTTATTATCCAAATAAAAAAATCTAAAATGTCTTATAATATCATCTAAATTAAAAAATATTATTTACAATTATAAAAAAAAAAAATTAAAATTTTTATAATATAAATAAATTAATAAATAAAATACAATATTTAGTTATTAATGTATAATTGTTAATTACAATATAATAATAAACATGCTTAAAAATTGTTAGAAAATGCTTCTATATCATATGATTAAAAATAAAATAAAATCCCCTATAAATTTTAATGTGATCATATTCATATGATTATACTAACATAAGTTTAACAAGTTATTAAGATAAATAAACAATACGACTTTCAATATAATTATACTAATTTTTGTAAATGAATTAAATAGAATTTCTTTATATAATTATATGCAATTAAAACTTAACTATATATACTTTTATTTTTTGTACATTATAAAAAAAGAAATAAATATTATTAAATAGAATTTCCTTATTTATGATATTAAAAATATTTGTAATTATACAACAGCACTTGGTGAAAACTACGCGTTATTTTGAAAGAAAATGAAGAAGACGAATGTGGATAAAGGCTGTAAGAATTCGGATTGTTCGATTTCGGTGGACGATATCCGATTCGAATTGTTTGATTTTAGATTCGAATTGTCCGATTTTGCGTCCACGTTTCACCGGCACTATATTATTGAAAGAATTATGAAAGTTTTAAGTTAGCATCCACGTTTCACCGGCACTATATTATTGAAAGAATTATGAAAGTTTTAAGTTATTGTTTTCTAGGTATTTCCTGTATTACATAACAAAGTTATTTATATTAACTTAAGGGGTGGACATATGTCGCAAGAGTAAAAAGTTGATCTTATTCTTAGAGATAATGTAGGCCATGTAACCTTCAAATAGAGGAATTTGGTATCATGTAGGATATCTTTCGACTTCTAATCAAAAGCAATCCTATCTTTTCAGGATAGAGAGAGATATTTTATTTATTAGATATTTTAGGATTAGAAATAGTACATCTATGTACTTTGAGAGATTTTATGAGAGATTTAAAATTGATGCGAAAAATAAATTTTTATTTATAACTATTTGACGATAAATAGTTCATCATTAACATCATTTTAGTTTTTTCTCAATTAATTGGGTTAGGCTATATGAATCATGACTTTCTATTATGCTCTATTAAATGTCATATCCTTAATGAGGCCATAAGTCCCTATACATTTTCGAACTACTTTTAACCACGTCTTTTTGGGCTACCCCTTGGCCTTTTCAGTATTTTCACTTGAACTAACTCGCACCTCCTAACAGGTGCTGTACTTGGTCGGTACTACACATGGCCAGCCCACCTAAGTCTATTCTCTCTCAGTTTATTGCCTATTGATGCCATGCCTAAATTCTCTCAAATAGATTCATTTCGAATTCTATCTCTTCTTATCTTGCCACTCATTTATCTCAACTTCCTCATCTCTACGGCACTCATTCTTTAGGTATATTGTCTTTTGTCTGCCCAACATTCCGCCCCATAGATCAAAGCTTGTCTCACCACTATTTTATAAATCTTGCCCTTCAGCCTCATTGGTATACGGCGATCACATAAAATTCCAGTTATATATCTCCACTTCGCCCACCTAGCTCTAATTATGAGAGCGACATCTTCCTCGATCTCTCTAGTTCCCTGGATTATCAACCCAAGGTATAAAAAATACGATATTTTTTGTACTTCCTGATCATAAATCTTAACTACTTCATTGTCTCTACTCCTATTATTACTAAACTTGCACTCCATATACTCTATCTTAATCCGACTAATTTTTAAAACTTTTGGATTCTAGAGCATCCCTCCAAAGTTTTAACTTTGTGTTGACGTCGTTTCAGGTCTCATCAGTCAAAACTATGTCATTTGCGAACAACATGCACCACAGTACCTCATCCTGTAGATGCTTAGTCAAGTCGTCTATAACTAAAACAAAGAGATACGGGTTCAATGCTGACCCTTGATGTAGGCCAATAGTCATTGAAAACTCACTCGTCTCTCCACTAGTTGTTCGTATATTAGTTGCCACTCCATCCTACATATCTCTCACCAAGTCAATGTAGTGTTTAGAGACATCTTTCTTTTCCAATACCCATCAAATCAAATCTCGATGTACTCTATCATAAGCTTTTTCTACATCACTAAAGACCATGTGGAGGTATTTTCCTTTGCCCCTAAACTTCTAAATCAGTTGCCTAAATAGGGAAATAGCCTCAATAGTTGACCTTCCTGGTAGAAAATCAAATTGGTTTTCAGATACGCTCGTTTCACGCTTTAGTCGTTGCTCAATGACTCTCTTAGAGTTTCATAGTATGACTCATAAGCTTGATCACTCGATAGTTTGCACAGTTATATATATCTCATTTATTATTGTAAATAGGTACCACAATACTTTTCCTCCATTCGTTCGGTATTTTTATTGTTCTCAACACCTTGTTGATCAACTTTATCATCCAGTCAATACCAATTCCTCCCATGCATTTCCAAACCTCGATCGGGATATCATCTGGTCCTAATGCTGTTTTTATCTTCATCCTTTCAAGGCTTATTTCACTTTCGACATCTTAATCCAACAAATGTATCTATGACGTCCCCCGTCACTTGTATCAACAGTCCCTTCTACTACTATGTTCCCATTGTGTTCATCATTTAATAATTTTTGAAAATAGACTATCCAACTTTCATTTACCTCACTATCCTTCACTAAGACCCTTTGATATTTAATATGGTTTAGATGTCGATACTTTTTCTCTCTTATGTTTGCTAAGTCAACAATAAATAGTTATCAATAATAATTAGTCAAATCAATAGTAAAATAATTATAATTTCAATAATAAATAATAGCTCTCTCTCGCTTTCTCTCTCCAGTTTGTATGTATTAATTGAGCTATTGAATATTTGAATACGTGTGAAATGTGTGACAGGCCGAGAGAAGGTATCTGTGGATGGGCTGGGGACAAAGGACAACTTTTGCTTGAAGAATTGGGCATGGGCGGCTCAAGAGATCTAGGAATTAGTTAGTGTTTGTGCGTAATTAAAACATATATTTATTAGGCTCTTCTCAATTCTTTATTTTTTTTAATGGCAAGTTAGGTTCTTCTGAATTTGAGGTCAACTAAATACTTGCTTTATGTTTCATATCATTTTAAGGATTGTTAGGTATAGTAGATGCACGCCTAAAAATTATTAGGGACCCCTTGATATTATTAGGTTTGATATTTTATTATCTTTTTTAGGCACACCAATACTAATTTTGGGGATTTTTAGGTTGATGCCAATCGATGTTATAATTTTAATGAATATTATTGGCATATAAAAATAATAATATTTGTAGGTTTTATTTGTAAGTTTATTTGAAGTACTAAATATATAACGATTATAGAAAGATTATCAATAATTTTTTAGCGGTATAAACAATTTTAATAATTATTATTGTGATGCACATTAACAGTAACTCGGATTCACCCTATTTACTCAAGTCCGAGTGGACTTGGGTGTGTCCCATCACACTTTCATGAAATGTGGAAGCATTGATCTGATCTGTTGATATTTAATGGATGAGAGTTTTGGAGGTAAACTGAATTTTTTTGGATGAGACAAAAATAAATATGAGGTTACCCAAACTGTCCTACTCTACATCACAAGTTTTTTTTTTTTTTCATGGCCCAAAAAAAAAAAATCCATGGAACATATAAAACCGAGCAAAATTTGCCTCTCAAATAATAAAGTAAGACTATTAGGAATCCACTAATGAAGCTCTTAAGCATGCAAAGATTATTGTCCTCAGAGTTTTCAAGACTCAAGCACAAGGTCAATATGATGAATTGCATGACTGAGAGGCTTGATAGAGAAGGTGATGAAGCTGAGTCCCTATTTCCAATTAGAAACCACCATGGCTGAGTTGGAAAAGATGTTCAAAATTTTTATTTGGAAGTGGTGCATGAGAAACACACATATCAGATCCTAATGGAAAATCTCAAATTTAAGTATTTTGATTGTTTCCTCAATGGAAAGTGAAAATTCCCAGCTCTTATTTGTTAGTGACAGATTATCATAAAATTTCTTTCAAAGAAAAAACGGAGAAAAAAAAAAAAATTTCCTATTGCCATTTTTACTTTTGATATGCAATATATTGCGGATAGATAACAAATGCTGCCATAATATTCGCACCATTCTATAGTTCAACTGATTGATATGTGATCTTCATACTATCACAGAATGCAGTGAATGCCAAATTATCATCAAATATCGAATCACGTTTCTAGGAGAGTCAAAGAAAGGGAAGGGGTTTACCTGGGTGATATTTGTTGATAATTTACTGAAGGCACAAAATTTACTGAAGAACTAAACATGAATTTATGAGTGATGTTGTGAGGTTGTATTTATAAGTTTGTGTAGTAGAAAGTTATATAACTACTAAGTGGTTAGTAGTTATTGTTGTAAGTTAGTAGTTGTTGTAAGTGGGTGGTTATTGTTGTAAATGTGGTTGTAAAAACCTCTAGGTGATATTTGTTGATAATTTACTGAAGGCACAAAATTTACTGAAGAACTAAACATGAATTTATGAGTGATGTTGTGAGGTTGTATTTATAAGTTTGTGTAGTAGAAAGTTATATAACTACTAAGTGGTTAGTAGTTATTGTTGTACGTTAGTAGTTGTTGTAAGTGGGTGGTTATTGTTATAAATGTGGTTGTAAAAACCTCTATTTAAAGAGAAGTGTGTGGTGAGAAAATTGGATCACATGTATTAAGGTTAATCATGTATGTCAAGATTGTAATGCCTGTATCGCATCCTTCATATTTGAATGAAAGTTTTTTTTCCACGACATTTTGATTGTTTTCTTCTATTTCTTTACATCTTTGAATGAAAGTTTTTCTTCCACGTCATTTTGATTGCGTTTTTTTATTTCTTTACATCTTTGAATGAAAGTTTTTCTTCCTGTGTGAAGCGGATTGTTCCCATATTTTCGCAGTTGTTCTCCACAATTTTAACTAGATTAAACCATCGTATACAATACATAGACTACCCCACTTCAGGTCCCAATCTTGTCGTAAGACAAAGCATCGACTGTACACCAAAAAAACAGAAGAAAAGAAGGGAAACAAACATGCATATTGATTTTCAGAAAACTCCTCCTAAACCCCAATTCACAAAGTTTACTGAATTTCAAACATGGCCACACAAAAATTCAACTCTCATTTTCAACTAGATATACTGGAATTTCCTTCCTTTCAGCCTCCCTCGAGCAACATTTCAAAACTCACCTGCCTAACCAGGACCCTAAACCCTAAACTAGATTAGCTAACTCAATTTTTTTGGAAAATTTTACATAGAAATAAAAATAATAACAAAGCAGCAAAATAGTTGAAATGGGAGGTTTCTAGATCCGTATTTGAACCCCCACCAATAATAATAATACTTCTTTTTAGACCAGATTGACTACCGAACGGCAAAGGGTTTTGGTCGGAGCTAGCCTTTTGTTGGGCTTGTTGACGATTATAGCTGCAAGATATTAAGTTTCCTATATTGTAGATTGCAAGGTATTGAGTTTTTTTATTTTGTGAGATTACTGTAGTGTAGTAATGATGAGATTTGTTTTCTAAAAAAAAAAAATTATAACTCTATAAATATCTGGTAAATGAGAATAATCCTATGAATGAGATATTAATTTACCGTTCGTGGATGGAGGCACCATTGTCGAGCAGGGGAGGCTCTAAAAATGTTGGTGTGGCCCAAAACCCTAGGCTAAGGCCGGCTTGGGCCAGGCAAGGTCCATTGTCGAGCCTATTTACTCAAACCCAATCCCTTTATTGGTCAAATCGCTTAGACTAGAATTTAGAAAACAAAAAAAAATATAGATAATAATTTAAATTTTAAATTCCATTAAAAATTTGACCAATTTCATTTAGTTGTTCGAATAGTTAAAACTAATTAATCTAACATGTCCAAATCGAGCAAAAACTAGTTTTGAAGCAATTTTTTAACCAATTATAGCTTAGATCAAACCAACAAATACACTAGTTAGCAAGCCGATCGGTTGGACCATTAGCTTTTTGATAACAATGCATATTTTGCTTATATTAAGGCCTCACTTATGGGAGTGTCTAGGTCAACATACAGGCAAGGCCCTCACCATGCGTCGGGGACCATTATAACTTCGAACCAAGGCTAGGTCAGGTCACCCATAACCATCTCAAAATTATAAAGTTGGTATATTCTATAATAAATCAACATGCTAACATTAATCTTAATCTTGACCATTGGATGTAAAATTGGATGGATGCAATTATTCTATTACCAAGTTCAAACTCCAAAAAGAAATAGGAATTGCTGGAAGTAAGTGTGTGGAGAGAGTAGTTCAGAAACTCAGTAACCCTAACTTTAAGTTGTGGAGAGAGAAGAGAGCGAGTGTAGCAGCTAAATAGTAGCGGAGAGATCCAAACAGGGCTCACACTCACTGGTTCACTGTAAAGTTCAGCAAAATCGATCATTTCTTTGCCTTCTATCCCTGTAGGGAGAGTTCTCTTTTTTTGCCTGTGTTTGTTTTCATATCTAGTCTTATCAGTTTGGTGTCTTGATGAAATTCGATCGAATCTTCGTGGAGTGTTTCAAAGTGGTTTGATTCCGGTTGTTCAGTCTTATTATCTCTAAAAAACGGAGTTTTCCTTTGTAAATATGTGGAGTTACTAGCTTCTGAGGACACCTGCATTGTTTTCTTGCATTTGTTAAGGATTTGAAAGAATTGTGAGGATTGAGTGCTTTTTTGTGGTTTAAGTAATGATGATTCGTGTAAGTATGATACATACTGTTTTCTTCAACGTCTCAGAAGTTTTAGAAGAATGTGATATCAATGGAGAAGATGCTTTTGTAGAGATTCAGAGTTTCTTTAATGGAAATCATCTACTTATGGAGTAAGGTGTTGTTTTTTCTGCATCAGATGCACAACTAAATGCATTTTTCGATTACATGAACTGCTCTCTCTCTCATGGCATGCTAATGACAGGGGTGAACATTTTGGCATAATTTTTGGGATTTTTCACCATTTCTATGAAAGTCATTCGGTTATTACCGTGTGCTTTTAAGTTAGCCTAAAAAGTTGGGAGTTTTGAGGCGAAAGGAGATCATAATGCAAACAAGAATTTTCCTGAAGTTACCTTTGGTTCCATCAAATGACAATTACTATCAATTTGCTATTTGTTGCAGTTTTTCGGGAGTAAGTTCACCCCTTAATGTCCGATATGGATGCTCAGATACGATGTTTTGCACAATTGGTGCCAAAAATTATATTTCAATTGAATTGCGAAGATTTTCGAAGATTAAAGCACAGACCCACATCTCAAAACTAGACTTGAAGCAACTCTACAATTCATATGAGAATAGCACAGGTGATGGGTTTGAAGTTGATTATCAATTGTATAATAATTTAATCCAAGCTTATTGCAAAAGAGGTGATGTTGATATACCCATGCGATTATTTGCTCATATGGGCGCAGTAGGAATGCAACCAGCCATTAATTCTTATGCTTGTCTCATTAATGCTCTTGGAACTGTGGGTCGAACTCTAGAAGCAGATGCAATTTTTCAAGAGATGAAAGAGTTGGGTTTTCGACCTAGAGTGAGGTCGTATAATGCTCTTCTCAAAGGCTTCTTGAGAAAAGGCCTTTTCAAGCTTGCGACCAAAGTTCTGATGGAAATGGAGGAACTGGATATCGATCCAAATCAGGAGACCTATATGCTTCTTCTCGAGTCATATGCACGAAGTGGGCGTTTAGAGGATACTTGGCTGATTCTTAAAGAGATAAAGAATGAGGGTTTTTATGCTAGTTCCTATGTTTACAGCAAACTTATAGGCATTTACAGGGACCATGGGATGTGGAAGAATGCTTTAGACCTTCTCAGAGAGATGCAGGACAATGGGGTTTCACCAGACAGGCATGTCTATAACAGTGTCATCGATACCTTTGGGAAATATGGTCAGTTGGATGAAGCTGTTGATGCCTTTGAAAAAATGAAGCATGAAGGATTTTCCCCTGATATTATGACATGGAACTCTTTGATCAAATGGCATTGTAAGGCTGGAGAGCTCCATCAGGCACTCAAGTTCTTAAACAGGATGCTGGAATGTGGGTTTTACCCTGACCCAAAGATATTTGTCACCTTCATTAGTTGCTTAGGAGAAGAGGGGAAGTGGCGTGAGATTAGGAGAGCTTTTGAGGTTATGAAACTTAAAGGGTTTAAGGAAAGTGGAATTGTTTATGGTGTTTTGGTCGATATCTATGGGCAGTATGGAAAATTTCAAGATGCAAGTGAATGTGTGTCAGCTATGAGAGCAGAGGGAATAGAGCCTTCATGTGGTGTCTTTTGTGCATTGGCAAATGCATATGCTCAACAGGTGAGACTCTATTTTATTGTGTGTGCTGCTTGTTGAGCATTACAATTAGCATATAGCTTACCTGTTTGTGATATGCTTGAATGATCCTAGATTTTGCTTTTTGGCTTGGTCATGAAATTTTCTTTTTTGCCATTGAGGGTAGTTAGGGAAAGTAACATACGATCCGTGTGAATATAGAAGAGCTATGGTTCACCAATGTTATCCCCATCCAATCAATTGATGGACGGTGATGGAGAGAGAGAGAGTAGGCCCCACCACATGGGTCACGTAATGTGCTAAAGGGTCCCACTCTTTCTCCATCACCATCCATTACATACACAACCATAGTTTTTCTATGATCATATGGATATCCACCTTACAATGTAATGGGCCAGATCAAGGTTTGCATGATGAACTGTTCAATTGTGTGTATAGGGAATGTGTGAGCAGACTGTTAGTGTTCTTCGACTTATGGAAGCTGAAGGCATTGAAATAAACCTTACAATGCTGAATTTGTTGATTAATGCATTTAGTAATGCTGGAAGGCACATGGAAGCTGTATCAGTTTTGGAGCACATCAAAGAGAGTGTAAGCCCCTTTCACATATTTAGAGTTTCTGATTTGATGCTTTATGCCTTATTCTCTTCTCGTGATATTGTTGATGACCTTTTCTACAATCAGTGACAGTCAAATCTTTTACTTTGTATGTTGAAGGGCTTAAGTCCTGATGTAGTTACATACAGTACCCTCATGAAGGCATTTTTCAGGGCGAGGAAATTTGACCAGGTCCATTTTTTAGCTCAATGGCTTTTGAATCATGTTATGTCAAACTATTCTTCCTCCTTTTTAACTTCAGTCAAGCTAAGCTGAGACGCTATATCAGACCATGCTCATCATAAACAGATTTATTTATTTAATTTTTTATTCCATTTACATTTCTATGAGGCTTATTAATCAGGTCCAAGAAGTTTACAAGGAAATGGAGTCTGCTGGTTGTGTTCCAGATAGGAAAGCAAGAGAGATGCTGCAGAATGCATTGCTTATCCTCGAACAGAGACATGGTGAGTTGATTATTGGTTTTGGAAAACTCTCAGGACTGTAACTTGGAGGCCTCTATAAAATGCCTTTTTTAATTATTACTTAGGTGGGGTTTGAACCTGGGACATTTTGTTGCAGTTGTCAACACATCCATGAAATGATTGAAAAACTTAGTAAACTGAGAGAGTACCTGAACCTGTCGATTTTTTCAATTGAATTTTTATTCTCCTGGTTACTACCTCCGACCTATTTATTGTGGCTTTTGTTGTTAGTGTTGATAAAAATATACATCATGTATCTGCTTATAGCCCGTATTTTTACATTGTGTTTACTTCATACAAGTTGAAGTTTCTATATCCATTTGTGCAACAGGTCATAAAATTTAGATTCCTGAAGATGCCCTTCTCTATATTGTAAAGGTCCAGGAGGATGGGACACACCCTGAAAGGATTGGCGCTTGAGATATGACATTCTTTCTTGTCACCTTCACCTTTGCATGAGGTCCTCATTTGGGTAATTGCCATTTGCTTTGCTTATTAGATATTGTCTTGTTTTTCTCTTCATATTAAAAGAGTTAATATCATTCTGCTTATAATTATCTTTGTCATTCTCATCATTATCAGATATTTCAGGCAGCATTTCATTGTGTTTGAAAAATTGAAATAGGAAAGCATATAAGCCTTAAAAGGTGGCCTTTTGGTATCCTCGCAAGCAAAATCTAGTATTGAGAGTCTGAAAATATTCTAAAGAACCAACTCCAGAGTAATGTATTATTAGCATATCATAAATTGCTCCTAAGTTCTAACTATGTCATTCTTGTCTAGTTGACCCCAAAGTATCCTTTGTATGTAAATGTGTGAATGTATCATTACAGTTCATTACTATTTAACTCCTTGTCTGATGACATTGATTTATTTCTATGGTCTTTTTTCGTGGTAGATAGTTTTTCTTCTTCTTCTTTTATATACATATATGGAAAAGTTTTCCCAACGTTTATAAGCAAAAATGAACAGTGATTTCACCTATGTTCATCACCGTCCAAAGTTCATTGCACGGTCACGATTGTCCGGTAGTGTTTCAATTTTAATTTTTTTTCTATAAATCTAAATGGTTTGAAATTTGGAGCGTGTGTACATCTTAGTGAGACACACCTAATAAAAATATGAAAAAAATATTTCGTAAAATATAAATTGACCAAAATAATTCTGTAAATTTTTAAGGGTATTTTGGTCAATTTATATTTTGTGAATTATTTTTTTTGATATTTTTATTAGATTCTCTTATTTTTTATGAACACAAGCTCCAAATTTTAGATCATTTTGATTTGTAGAAAAAAAAAATAAAAATTGAAACACTACCGGACAACTGTGACCATGTGATGAACTTTGGACGGTGATGAGTATAGGCGAAATCACTGTTCATTTTCGCCTATAAGCGTTGCGTAGTGTTATATATATATATATATATATATATATATATATGTATATATATAGGTTTTCTAAATATCACAACTGTTGTTTCCATAGTGTTATTCAGCCCAAGTGCCTCTAGTTAATAATTACTATGTTACTTGACATCCATAATTTCTGTTACCCTCTGTGGTTCTTCCCAGTGTGCTTTTGCTAGAAACTGGTCCTGCTCATAGCATTTGCAGCTGTAACCCTTCTTGTTTGAATTATTCAATGCACTTCATCTACTGAAGACTTCTATTCCTTAAATAATGGCAAAATTCTCTGAGGGAACCAACATAACATATTATTGCTTACTTCAAAATAACAAACTTTTCTAGCAACTGAAAAAGACCATTGTTTTCCAAGGCAAACAGGCATGTTATTTTCCAGATGAGTGTATCAATGACCAAAATGTTCCTCTTTTTTTTGTTGACTAACCTCATTAAGAGACAAAACATGTGAAGTGAAATGCAGAAGTACGGTTGAGACAGTTCTTTGGATACAAGATTGGAGTTCCAGTGATTAGCTCTCTTAAGTATTCCCATGTCTGGGGATGGCTTCATTGGCATTGCTTGATACATGACAAAAGATGTCTAACAAATGACTTTTCCCATACATCTCTTTTATAACATCTTCAGTTCTTCTATGTGATATTGATGAGAGAGTGCGGTCGTACCAGCACTGATGCACTGGATCCCATCAAAACTTCAAAGTTGTTTGAGTGGTACTAGGATGGGTGACTTCCTGGGAAGTCCTTGTGTGGCTCTCCTTTTTCCTCTGTCGTAAAACAACACCTTTTTGATCTTTGAATATGTTTCTTTGAATTTGGGGACCAAATATTTATTTATTTTGGAAATTTGCAGACAAAAAATATATACATTGGATGTGATTCTCATATGGACTTTAGTCTTGTCACTCAGATTAACTTGTATTTATTGACAGTGTTCCTGTTTCCCTACCAATCTGACTACCAATTGATAGTCTTCTATTATTTTTATTTTTATTTTTATTTTTACATTGTCAGCATTTATTTTAGAGCTTTCTGTGGAACCATCTGACCATCATTCAGCATCCCATCAGTCAGTTTGATGGTGATTCATTACAAAAGCCAACCAGATTTTAAATGGATGGCTATGATTTTACATGAGCATACATACCTTTTTGAATAAGCATCTGAATGTGCATGTAGGTGAAGATTCTTTCTTTTTTCTTAAATTTTATTTTATTCTTTTGCAATTTCTTGCGAATAACATGAATGAATGTACCATTCCATTTGTACTCTTGTGTCTTTATATAAGCATACATTCATGGAATGGGATACAGAGCACTCGTATCCTTTTCTCAACATGGTTGTTGATATGCAGTGGAAGATAGCCCTAGAAACTTGCATTAGATGATCATTTCTTGGGCATTGGAAGATCCCAAAGGTTAGTTTAGTTTGTTGTTTGCACAAAATGGTCAAGAACATACTTTCTTTGTTTCTAGAAATGGGGTGTTTCTAATTGAAGTTTATTTAGATGAAATAGACCATGCAGTGCTTGAAAATATGGATCGATGAGTTGTATTGCCCACCTACCAATTCCGTTCCAGATCGGGTGAATCAGCGATCTGGCAAAAGAAGATATTTGAGGTTCTTTTGTTTATGGTCTTTTTGTTTATAACACCGAGTTAAACCATTAGTCACCATTTTTTTTACTTGGGAGTGGGGCGTTTGTATAATATAATCACCGATTCGGCTTGTTCATGGATGTTTCTTGATTCAGATGGGCGATTTTTGAACTAAATTGGTGATTTTTCAATGACTGAGACCATCTAATTTCCAGTTATTCTCACTTTGATACTGATTTCGATTTAAGTAGATATTTATAGTTCGTGGAAAGCAAATTTTCCATATTGGTTTTCCAGTCTATTGGGATTATTTGTTATGGTCTAAGTGTATCTCATTTCTCATTCTTCATCTCCCATGATAAACAGGGTTGCTCTACATGATAATTCAAGCACATTTGAACATTCTAAAAGATCTTTTCATTCTCATTCCATATCTCTTGTTTGCACAAAATTGTCTTGGCACTTTGATGATTTTGTTTGTGGAAAAAAGTTGTTCCAAATACATCTTCTTCTTGTCTTTGAAAATTTGTTCCAAATACTATTGATAAAAAAAAAAAGAAAATCTGCATAAATCTTGTATTGTGTATTGGAAGAATTTTTTTTTTTTGGGGCAAAAAAGATGTACCCAGAAAAAGTTGTCCCAAATACACAATAGAAGATTTTTAATGTAACAATCAAATATTCTATGAAGTTAAATGAGTAATCCATTGCTTTTATCGATGAGGTTAAACAACATTTAAGAGAAGTAAAAAAACGAGAGTTGGAGGACAGAGAAAGGTAAGGTAGCATGGCATGGATGATTCTTTTTTCTCTTTCTCCAACACCTTTGATGGATTGAGGACCCAAAAGCCCATTTCAAAAAATGGATTTGGAGCTCCTCAAATGATGTGGATTTGTGTGTTGGGTGTTACTGAAATGGACGGTTTAGTATGCATGTTGAGATGGCATTCAAGTTGGTGTAAGTTTTCTCCATTTTCTTATGGTTTTTTGTTGTATTCATTGAAATGGATATTCATAACAAATGTTGAGATGATATTCAAGATGTGTTTTTAGGGCTGTAAATCCATTTTATCTTGTCAACGATCCAAGCAGGAAAACCAATGCATTTGTCCTTTGTTTTTGGTCAAAACACCTAAAATAATGTAGAAGGTTGCTTGCACTTTCTTTGGTTCACTGGTGTAGCTGAACTGCATGGAATGCTTTAGTTGTGTGTGTGTGGCTTCTATGATATTATGCCCATTTATTACATTAATATAACAAATAGAATATGAAATTTGAATCAGACCCAAGCCAACAAGGTGTGGGCCTGGGTGTGCTAGATCCAGGTTGACTGGTTACTAACCCCAAGAGGTAACAACCAGCACTTGTTCTTCAATTAATCCCCATTTCATGTTGGAAAGAGTTTGTTTATATAGCGTTGCAACCTTATACTATAATCTATAGAAGTAAGGTGTACCTCAACATCCAGAAAAAAGCATTTTGAGGTTAGAAAACAATCCAATTGATCGTTTCGAACTTGAGGTATATGAATATAAAGAGTGAGAGAATTTCAAGTCCTACAAGTAATGTATTTTATAACAAGTTATTTGGACCGTTTATTTTAAAAAAAATTTATAGATATGTTTGATATGTACCTTTTTTGAAATTTAAAATTTCATTATTAGGGTCGAACATGGATTTTCAAATCTTCATGATGTTTTTGACATTGGAATTACATCTTCTGAAAAAATTTAGAGGTGCATCGTACTTGTATAGCATATGGTCGTCACTTTATACAAACTTGATCCCTTTCGTGGAGTAGCCAAACAAAATTTTTAGTAAATGTAATGAAACACAATTTTTCAATACTTGGTTTAGTGGGTGCATTATTCACCAAACAGATTCGTGTCGGAATATTGAGTTGGGGACTGTATCAAGCCTCGATCACGCTGAATCGGTGATCAACAAAATATTAAAAACTGAACGAAACAATATAGAAATCAAAATTGGGGTGCATGCCGTGATAGATATTCCTCAAAAATCTTTTTTTTCAAATTATAAATCCAAAAAAAGGTTTTTTTTTTTTAAGAATAGGTGTTCGAGTAAAATGATTTTATTCAAGTAATTTTGTTGATAAATTGATTGAATTTTTCTGTGTGTTTGACCATCCAAGGGATATTTTCACTTTTTTAACTGATCCAAAATCCAATTTTCTTTGGATGAAGTTTCTACAAGGCTTAGGTTTTATGAAAACAAAATAAAGCCTCACTTCAAATCCTTGTCCGAAAAGCACTTCGATAACGAAATCTCCTGATGGCTCTAAAATCAATATTCAACACAGGGAATAAAATTTGAAACTAAAAAAAATGTACTGATCATATAGATCTTTGCATACTTATTTTTAGAGTGAAATAGATGGTTTAGATAATTATTATAATGTTTATTATTTTTAAAACTTGAAATCCGAAATTTTTTTGATAACTATAATGTTCAAAGTGAGATGATCAACGTAAAGGTTTTCCAAATACTTGCAATTTTCCACGAGATATGAGGTCAGACTTTGCATATTTTGATAGGGCTGCAGGCCTATCAAACCATTTCCTTTTTGTTTTAGTGTTAGGTTTTGCTCGCGTGCAATACACTGGAAATGTAGAAAATTTTGGTAGTAAAAGAAAAATGGAACCTCCTTCTTCAAAAAGCACTCATCCTCCCTCAATTCATCAGAGTGACTTGGATGATGAAGACGACAATGTGAAGCAGCTCGACCACTGCGCCATCCTTTACTTGGCTCTTCAGGTCTTTCTCTTTCTCTCTCTCTCTCTCTGCATATTTCATAACTCTTTTAAGTGTTTGAACCCATATTTGTTCACAGGATTGCCTTGTGAATACCAACAGGAACTGGAAATCTTGCCAACCAGGTAAATGTCTTGGCATCACAAGCTTAATAGAGTTGGGGTTATGAATTTAAATCCATTTTATGGTGTTATTATGTTTCTTTTGTTGTGGTTTTTACTATTTCATTGGATTGACTTGGGTTGTTATTTGGTTTAAGCAATGAATCTGGTTTAGCTATTTTGATTGGTTTGGAGTTATTTGCATGATTCTTTAGTGGAATTGGCTCCTCTTTGGGTGTTTCCTTTCTTTAGATTTTTGATTTGTAGATGAAATCTTAGTTATTCTTTTCATTATTTCCTTCTTGAATTCACTGGAGCCATTTGGTCTTGCTTTTCATGGCAGAGTTGATGTGTAGTTCAAATAAAACAAGAGTATGCAAAGTGATTGGTTAAATTCATTTTAACTCTTTCAAGTCATTTACTTCATTGGAGATATATAGAAGTTCTATTGGGTACTTTTTTTCTTCTTTATGTTTTAATATTGTTACTTTTCTTATTAAATATTGTTAATTATTAGTATGATGAAAGTTTCAACTGCTATTTCAAGGATAAATAATCAGGGAGCCAATTGACTGAGAGCCAAATGGGCCTCCCTGACCTTTTTGTCTTCTCAATGGGAAAACATCCCCTGAGCTTCATCTCCTAAAAAGCATCAGCAAAGTTCACAATCTTGCTGTTGTTAAGCAGTATAAAAACCATTTTCAGTACATCTTATGGCTTGATTGTATACAAGGTCCTCTTTACCCTTGTGTTTTTGCTATCAAGTTCTTCTTTTCTTGCGATGGTATGCGAATGTGAGATCATAGTAGCATGTGTTGTAGATCATTGTGGAAGAAGACTTGCTCAATGAGGTGTGTTCTAGAATATAGATTGTTGCGCTATAGAAACTTCTTTCCAGCATGTTCACTGGGAAACAAAGAAGCAGGTTGATGTGTTGGCCCTAATTGCGATCTCTAGTATGAGTTTTCCTGTGTTTCTCTCCCTTTCTTGTAGTGTCCTTTATATATTGAGTCTTCTATATAATTCCCTTACCCAACAATAAAAGCAAATCCTTTAAAAAAATTTAATGCAAGAATTGCCAGTGTCAAGATTCATCTTCGATGTAAATTCTATTGATGAGATAGCTTCAGAAACATATGTGAGGAGACTTCTGATGTTTTTGAATTGATGTTAGTTCTGTCCAAAAAAAGGAAAATTGAGCAAACAATGTCTTTTCCATGAATTACTTCACTAGAAAGTAGATGGTTTTTTTGTCTGGGGGGTGGGGGGCGCCTCAGTCGAGAAGGTTAATGCGATGAAATGTATGGAAGGAAAGAACCATTGTTTATCAGCACACTTGAAAAAGTTAGATTACTTTGCTACTATCTGTTGAAGAATCAACTCTTAGGCTACATCCACTAGAAGGTACATTGATAAGTGCAGTACATCTCCTTGTGAAGCCAAACATTTGTTGAAGAAATTCTTATGCGGGTGATTTTTTTTCTCCTATAGTAGTTGCCAAAACAGATGGGGCATTAGAAAGATCAGTGCTATTTAGTATATATGAAATATCATTTGCATCTAGTTCATATACAGGAAATGCTTGCATGGAGGTCCTGAACATTGAGATTGAATACCATAGGTCAGCTGTCATGAAAGATCTTATCTTTTGAAAAATACACTTGATAGGTATGTCCAATTACTTTTTTCACGTAGAGGTATTTGCTCACGTTGACGTGTGGGGCACATCAAAAGAATTTTTTACTCCTTCAAAATTAGTCTTATCTAAAATTTGATTTGGTTTGGAGCTCCAAAAGAGCTCTAAATCCACCTGACCTATCTTCCATTTTGAAAGAGCAAGTGCTAACTTACAAATGTCTTAATTGGATCTTCATGCCTCTTGTTATATTTTCATTCCCCGAAAGAAAAAAGTCAAGCTCGAATTTGTCAAATCAGACCTGCTGCTGTCACATATGTATGCTTTTTAATTACAGAGTTTCTGAGCACTTCCTCCTTCCCTGTTTTTGGCTCATTATTTTTTCTTGTGTGAGCATCCTATATTGACCTTATATTCTTTTATTTTTTTCTTTTTGCCTTTTTTAATATGGGTGATGAATGTGGTTGCAGAGGTGCGGGCCCTGAAAGCATGCCATGAGAAGAAGAAGATAGTACAGAAAGAGGACTCTGCCCATAACTGAGTGTTTGCTTTGGTGATCTTGAATTACAATTAGCTCTAATTCCTCTCTCGCTCTCTCACATTGTGTAAGCAGTGTTCGAACCCAGGTTGCGAGAAATTTTGTGATGTCAGAAAAACAAGAAAAGAAAAAAGTTGGAAGGACAAATGCCTTTCAGTTGAGCTAAGGGCATGTACCCAAAATTTCCAATTGCGAGAAAAAAGAAATAAACTAAAAAATGGTGATGTATTCTCTCTGAGAAAACTCTCTCTAGCACATCACTCACAAAAACTACAGATAGCACTTATCTGTCTCTAACAAAAACCATCTATAACACCTCTCTTTTTTTCCACGTGTGTAAGACCTCTCTCTTTCTCAAACATCTATAACATAGTCTCTCTCTCACAAAAATTATCTATCACATCTCTCTCTGGGCGGGGGTGGGGGTGGGGGTGGGGGTGGGGGTGGGGGTGGGGGCGGGGGCGGTCAACATGACATCCTACAATCTTAATCACTGTTAACACTTAAAAATAAGGGTAAAAAAAGAGAAGCTTTTTGAGGGCTTTCTTAGATGACAAGTAAATAATATAACAGCACAGGAACCATTCTGACCTCTAACCGACTGTCAGATATGTAAAATTGTGCCATTAAAGAAGTATCTTTCCTTGACATAAAGTTTGAGAAAAAATTTCTTACATTTAACTGTAAATAATAGAATGCCCAATTCAACATACTCTTTTGCCACTCAATTTACATTTGATGCTATATGGTTACTGTGAACTTGTACCAGTCTTATTGTACAGTTTCTCAATTTTAAATTATGTATAATTAAATTAAAATCGTGTACTTTATTGTCTTTTGTTTCTCATTGTTCAATTATTTATAACTTAACTAAAATTTAATATTTTACAATCATTTTGCCCTTGTTTTCAGAATCGAACTTAAACCTGCAATACTAACTTTGAGAAGTCACCCTTGGCTGCTGTTTACTTCTTAAAATGGGAAACCATTTCAGAAAAATTTAGAAAAAAACTCTCAGAAAAAAAAAAAACATAATCTACAATGTTATACATACACTAAACTCTCCATACAAAAATATGTCCACTACAATTTCTCTCCCACATAAAAGAAAAAGTTATAAGAAGCACAAAAAAAAAAAAGGCAAAGCAAGTCAAATTATCTAAATTCATTCCCTTCATTATTAATACAATGGTAAGATCCACTTGTCGGGTCTACCTGGCATGAGCCTCCAGCCTCTATTCCCCGAGTCGGAAGTCCTGCCTCCAAGTGAGGGCAATTTGGGTGATAGAAGGGGTACCCTAGAATTTGGTACAATCTGAGAGAGGGAAAGAGAACAGAATAAAGGACACATATAGTGGACATCACTTTCAATGATACATCAATGTGCATAGGCCAGTGCAAAGGGTGCCTCTCGAGGAGGAGAGAAAAAATATTTTCTAGAAAAGTAGAGGGAGGAGAGAAGTTGGTTCCATGACTTGGACACTCATCTAAACCTCCCAAATGATTTTATTGGGAGTCTTAGTAGAATTAGATGTATGACATCATTAGATAATTTGTTTATTGGGAGCTTTGCATGACTCCTAAGTTAGTTTGGCATGAAAGTGCTTTAGCCATAACCTATTAGAGGAACAATGGAATGGTTGCATTCTCAAAAGTTAATGCTTCTATAACCTTTTTCTTTCTCATAGTTTTTCATGGTGGATTCAAGGAATGAGGAGATTGAAAGAAGAGCGGTAAACATAATATTTTTAATAGAAAGCTGATTAAAAGAGATAGACAAATGGAGAGAGGAAAAAGGGTTGTAAGTGGGTTAAGGGATGTAAAAAGGAAAATAGGAGAGAGGGAAATGGTGGAGAGAATAAACAAAGTTATAACCAAAAATAGAATAGAAGAAGAAGAAAGAAGAAATACCTTGCAAGTGTAAGGTTGGTAGATGGCATCCGCCTAGAAAGAGAAAGAAGGTTTAGTAAGAGAAAGGGTTGGGAGATTGAAGGAAAGTGAAAGCCTAGAGATACATGAGATAAGGGAGACCACAAGGGGAGAAGAGAGGATATAAAGATTAATACAACAATTTTAATATCAAATACTACCAATATAACTAACAAGATATTTTGGCTTGATCCTGTACATTAAAAAAGGAGAAATGAGAAAAAAAAGAAGAAAAAAGAAGATATTCCCCTGATTCCAATTATCTTTATCTCTTTAACTAACTACTCAATTTTTGGCTCTACTAATTTCTTATTTTCTCTATTATTTTGGACAAATTAAGATGCCAAAAGAAATACTTCCATTGATTTTTTGGACCCCTCGATCTCAAGGGGATATAATCCGAAATTATTGAAAAATAAAATAATATTCATTATAAGGTCATGCCTACGTAGAACTAAATGTGAAAAGAATATATTCCTCTTATGTATGTTCTGAATAATTACTCTTACAGCTAGGCTTAAGAGATGGCGTGGAAGTCTATCTTATAAGATTGAAATTTAAATTCCAGGTGGTTTAACGCGGTAACCTAGGGTATAATACTGCACGGAACGTGAACACTGCTCCCTCAGGATCATACTATACATTTACTTCTTCAGGTAAAACAATCGTGTGAGAGTTTTTTTTTTTTTAATTTCAAATTTCAGAACCTATCTAATAATAACCAGATGATTTATTTTAATTAAAAAAATTTCGATTCTAAATTCTTGAACATCTTCGTCATTGTGGATAGTTTACTCCCGTGGGACTTGAAAATCTTGTAGCATATTTATGCTTTGTCAACTCTTTTGACGTTAGAGAAGGAAAAAATAAAAGGGCAAGACGTCGGAGTAGTATAAATTCATGTTTCTCTCTCTAGCACGCAGTTGGACATTTCACATTCTCTCTCTTAATTCCAACCAGTTTCTCTCACTTAATTCTAGAGCCATCCCAAGCCTGTGTCCTCTCTCTCTTATTACAAAACGATAAGAAAATATTTGTCACCTTTGTTCAAAACTGTTCTCTCTCTAAATTCAAAGCCAAATCGTGGTCTCTCTCTCTTCCCATTCAAACCCACATAGTGCTCTCTCTCTCTCTCTCTCTAGATGGACCAACACCATCGTAACCAGCATCAAGAGAGAATTCTCCCCAAGAGAATCATACTCGTAAGGCATGGCGAAAGCCATGGAAATGTCGACTACTCGGCTTATGTCACCACCCCAGATCACCAAATTCCCCTCACCCCACAAGGCCTCTTGCACGGCCGGGCCTGCGGGAGAGAGATAAGAGAGATGATAGAGAGAGACAGTGCAGGCGACTGGAGGGTGTACTTCTATGTGTCGCCCTACGAGCGGACGAGGGCGACGCTCAGAGAGATTGGGAAAGAGATAGGAGAGAGAAAGAGAGTGATAGGAGTGAGAGAGGAGTGCAGGATCAGAGAACAAGATTTCGGCAATTTTCAGGTGGAGGAGAGAATGAGAGCTGTCAAAGAGACGAGAGAGAGATTTGGGAGGTTTTTCTTTAGATTTCCAGAGGGTGAATCAGCTGCTGATGTCTATGATCGAGTTACCAGTAAGTTTTTGTTCTTTCTCTCTCTACTTTTTCTTTTGGTTTCATTCTTTCTTGTGTTAGATTGTAGAGAGATGAATTTTCTCTCTCCTGTCTTTTGAACTCACTTTTTTGTGCTGGGTTGTAGAGAGAGGAATGGTGGGATCTATGTTTGAATTTTATTTTATTTTGTTTTTTTTGTGTGTTTTTATTTGAAAATTTAGAGTCCAAATAAGAAAAAGGGATTTGCTTTTCTGAGTTCTTTCATTAATCCTTTTGGGGCGCTTTCATGGATCTGGTTCTTCTCTGTAAAATTTGGAAACTTGTGTTCAAGATAAAATTGGGGAACTTGGTTTTAAGAAGAAAAAAATAGATCATTGTATTTTATTTTTCTTCTTCTTCTCTTTCTCATACTTTTGTTTTTCTTGAACTGACTTTCTCTCTCTCTAGATAATTCTCTGTTATTAGTCTTTTCTTCTTTTGGCCTGAAGTTGGTTACTTTCATTGGTGACCTTTTTCTCTGTTTTTTTGGTGGGTTCATAGCTGGTGCTCTGTTTCAATATTGTTTTTATAATTCTTCAGTATTTTTTAATGCATGAGTTTTTAGTGGCATTTCTTTTTTCCATGCTGTTTTTTAATTATATGTTATTGAATTGTACCTTATATTTCCTCTCTTTCTACCATTTTTTTTCCTAAATTTGTCAATTTTTAGTTCTGTCATTCTCTCTTTAAGCTTATTTGAATCCCCCCGGCTTTTCGTTTCCTCCTCTTCTAAATTATTTTCAAATTTCTGTCGTTCTGTTTTCTATTAAAAAGTCTCTCCCTCTGAAGATTATTTTTCATATTTCTGTTGTTCTGTTCTTTTCAGTACGTTTGTGCTCTGTCCTACGGAAAATTGTTTTTTCAAATTTCGGTTAGATGTCTCTCATTGAAAAGCTTTCTCTAACACCATCTCCACCCCTCACTGACCAGGTTTTTTGGAATCCCTATGGCGAGACATTGACATGAACCGGCTGAACCGAGAGGGCGTATCTGACCTCAACCTCGTGATTGTGTCTCATGGCCTCACCTCTCGGATCTTCCTCATGCGATGGTTCAAATGGACAGTTGAACAATTCGAGAGGCTCAATAACCCAGGAAATTGCGAGGTTAGAGTGATGCAGATTGGCTCAGGAGGAGAGTATAGCCTCGCAGTTCATCACACCGAGGAAGAGCTAGAGAGATGGGGCCTGTCACCTGAGATGATAGCTGATCAAAAATGGAGGGCCACTGCAAAGAAAGGAGAGTGGAATGATGATTGCCCTTGGTACAATGACGATTACTTTGATCATTTGCTAGAATCTCGAGATTCTGATGAAGAGAAAGAGAGTGAGATGGAGATTCTCCATGAATGAGAAACTTAGGTTTTTCTTCGATGGACATCAGACCCTGATAGAAAGTAGATGTTCTCCACTGACAGAGATTCCCCGTTCTTTACATTAAGTGAAATAAACCAGGGGCACTCTTCTTGGGGTTTCTTATACCATGATAAATCAAGATTGTTGTTTGTTGTCAATGATTTCCGTCCCCTTCCATGCTTCAGTTTTCAGAAACTGATGTAAATTCATCCACTTGGGATTTGTGGATAAATTTAATTAAAATTTAATGTATGCATCACCTCTATATTTTGGTTTTCTGTGCGGTGGATAATGATTACTATTGCTATGATGAATCTGGTGTTCCCTTTGAAAAAGTTCATATAAAGTTGTAGACCCAAAAATGGTAACCATTATTCTGTGCAAGTTCAAAAGTCAAAAGAGACATGTTAATGTGATCCATAACCTTCATATAAAAGAATCTTATCATAATATTCTTAAGACAATTAAGTGTACTACAGATTTGCATTGTTTAAAACAGTATTTCAAAAATTAGAATCAGGCCCCAATTAGCTAGGGTCCGATTATTATTCAACCGGTCCGACTAGAGCAATTCCTCAGACATCACGCTATATTTAAGAAAGGAGCTAAAAAACAGAAGCTAAAATTGGAGAATCAGGGAGATTCTGGGGTTCCTGGAACTCCTAATCCTTACTAGTAACCCAATCTTGGTGTAGCTCCGAGTCAAATCAGCGAGTTTTTCAATCCCTGGCTCAAACCAGGAATAATTGGGTGGCAAATTCCACACCTAGGGACAGTTAAAGCACCAATTCATGCATTTGCACCAAGTATTAAATAAGTGGACAACTTCACATCATATCATAGATATCATTCAGAGATACATATTAGGCACTTAACTTCTACCAGTTTCTTGAAGCATTACCGAGAGAATAAAAAAAACAGAAGACAAGAAATACAAACAGTAAGAGAAAGTTTAGTTTGCTGGAGTGAACTTAATTGAAATGCTATTGACACAATGTCGCTCATCGGTAGGTGTGGGGAAGCCCTCGCCCTTGAAGACATGGCCGAGGTGTCCACCACAAGCTGCACACGTTATCTCAATCCTCCTTCCATCTGGATCAGGCTGTCAAACCAACACAAATTTCATCTTGGAATTAAAAAATGGACAGAGAGAGAGAGATGGGATTCTTGTTCAACAAAAATGTTTCAAAAAAAGATGCAGTTATGCAAAATAGAAAAGTGGTGTCAAAGATAGGATCACACGCATGCACATAAAGATATGCTAGCGTATGCTACAGCAGCTACATATGAACCCAACGGCTCAAATTCAATTTGGGCCGATTTGACGGATACGACCTCATTTCGTATTTGAATTCTAATATTTGTTATACAAATTCAAATCACGTGAAATTTTAGGCGCATATTTTTCTCATCAAAGCGCACCTAATAAAAATATTAAAAAAATAATTCGTACTATATAAGTTGACCAAAATACCCCTGAAATATTTTGAAGGTATTTTGTCAATTTATTTCTTACGAAATATTTTTTTTGATATTTTTATTAGATTCTCCTATATTTAAAGAACACACCCAAAATTTAAGCGATTTTAATTTATAAAAAAAATTTAAAATTCAAATACGAAATGCGATCATGATCATTGGATCGTCCCAGATTCAATTTGAGCCGTTGGGCTCAAATGTAATTGTAGGCCCACTGGCCTACGCTAGCATTTCTCTCTCTATATATATATATATACAAAAAAAAGTGTACTAAAAGACCATTTATCTTTGATACAAGGTGGTCACAATTAATCTTAACCATTGGATGTGAAATTAGGTGACTACATTTATTGCATTGACTAAGCTCAAAGTTCAAAAGAAATTTTCTTAAACCTTGTGACACATCCAAGCTATTAGATTTCACATTGGGTGGTTATACATAATTCTGACCTCTTTGTATAAAAGGTAAATGGTTTCATTGTATAC